CTCCCAGCAGTTACAGAATGCTCTGCTCGTGGCTGTAGTGTTTTTTCCTCCAAAGGGACACACAGAGGCCTTCTTGCACAGGTCAGCCCTGACAGCTCCCTTCACCCTCATACACAGTGTAGTATTAATAGCTAGCCTGAAAGACCATAAAACACCAAATATCTAAAGAGTTCCTGTGCCTTGAAATGTAAGCTAAGCAAAAAAAGAAAAAAAGCAGCCTTCCTGTTAGCAAACGGCTGTGATATATATACACACGCTTGCTTTCCTCCCTTCCAAGCCACAGAAGAGCAAACAGCACTCAAAGCTCTGCAACGCCGCTCTCCCTACAAGGCATCCTACAGACGTGCAGGTCTCCCTGCACCAGGATGGCATCCGCCAGCTCTGGCTGATCACTTTGTTTCCACCTCAAAGAGCTCGCTGGCACCTGGCCACGCTCCCCTCACTGGATCCTTTTCAGCCCTCAGAAGCAACCTGCCCAGCCTCAATTCTCCGCCCTGCCCTCGTCCCCTTCTGCCAAGCCCCGCTCTGGGCTCAGCTCACCGGGGTGAGGGGGATGAGCAGGGCTGCTCCCAGCTGGAAGCGGAGATGGAGGCGAGTGGGACTGCGCTCGTTTGCATAGCACCTGGGAAAAATCACAGCACGGTATTTACATCGCTAATTGGGGGAGCGAGCTTCCTGGAACAAGATTGCTTTCTGGCACAGGGAAGGGAAGAAAAAAAAAAAGAAAAAAAAAAAAAAAAAGGAGAAACGCACACAGACAGACACAAAAAGCCTAACCACCATTTGTAGCTGCGACTCCACCTGCAGCACCTGCCGGCACCAGGCGTGCATCCCGCCGCATTTGGTGGCATGCCATTCCTCTCCCACCAGCACGCCCGCACACAACCCAGTGTCACCCTCAAAAGCCCCAGTTGTGTTTATTGCCACCCCTCGGCTCCCTGCACAGCCCCAGGCAGGGCCAAGTAACAGGGACAGCAATACCTCCAGCAAACATTGCCATTAGAAACAGCACATCAGCAGGCTGCAGACACCTCCCCGTCCTTTCAAAGCCCAGCCAGCCAGCCAGTGCATGCCCATGGCGTTACAGGGATGCTCTGAAGCTGTACTTATGGAAAGGCTCCAGCTCCAGCCCTAAGTGCCCACAGCAGAGCACGGTGACCACAAAGAGGACGAGCAACCCTGTGCACCAAGGCAGCCTGGAAAGGCACAGGGAGGGCCAGCAGAGTGCTGGGCACGGTGGGCTGCCAGGTGGAGTGGCAGATTTGCTCATTAGTGGATTATTTCTGGCACACTCCCCGTGCATCAGCTCCCCAGAAGGGCTGTAAGAGCAGCTCACGGTTTTGAAGCCTTCGAGGCTGCAAGGCGCTGGAGACGCCGGCGAATCTTCCTTTAAAGAAATCTTGCTCAGCCAGATAAATGGTGCTGTGCAGCAGGGGTCATTAGGCTAATAAGCAGCCACTGTCAGCCTGGAAGCAAGGCAACAGACACAAGAGAATCCACCAAAGCCAGTTAGCCTCACCATCTGACCCATCTAAAGCAGCCACCATCTGCCAAGGAGTCTCCTTTGGCGGAGAAGCCGGGCAGGTGGGTGAGCACGCAGGGGCACGTGGCAGCCACATCTCTGGCCACTGTGAGGCTGGGGAGACACGGAGCGCACAACGCCACGCATTTATGGCTTCTCCCAGCCAAGGAAGTGCCGTGAGCCCGGTGCAAAGTCCCTCAACGGGGAGCAGTTCCCCCTCCCGCACGCTCCTCGCTCCTGCATTGTCATTCCACTCTCGTGCTTGGCAAACAGGAGCGGGTTGCTTGGCGGTGCTTGTGCCGCCGTGTCCTTGACAGGGAGCCGCCGGCCTCGGCTTCCAGAGCACTGGGGAATTGCACCGTGAGATGGAGACAGGGCTGCCCTGCGAATCAGCTCTTAAATTGGAGCCGGTGATGCAAACGAGCTGTGCATGGAAGCTAACGCAGCCACTAACCGGTCCTTCAGCTGTGCCCTGTGGGAAACCCAGCAGGAGGAGACACGATTTCCCCTGCTCTGCTACAATGCCTTGCGAAGTGGGATCAGCTGAAGCTCCCAGACTGCTAGCAGCCTTCAGAAAGAAAAAAAACAAAAAGCACACACATATAAATAACCTCTCAGCAGGAGCCAAAACTCAGAGCCTAACCCCATGGTTTTAAGTGAACAAGTCCAATTTCCTCCTTTGTAGCTCTTGACACATGTTGGCTGCGTGCCCCCTCCTCGCCTTGTTCCTGCAGCAGAAGGCTCTGCACTGCGGGTCAGGGGACGATAAGGAAATGAGCAGTGTAATTTCCAAGGCCTCCAAAGGCAGCCCTGTCAGCAGCTCCGGAGGCGGCTTACTCGAGCATGGCTGGAGAAAGGAAACCGTGGCGAGAAGAGGCGGCAGCTGCGCTGTGCGCTCCCTGGCTGCCCTTGGCTCGGCCCCGGCTGGGGCTGCCAAGCTGCCGATCCCTGGAAAGAGCTGGAGCAAGGGTGGGAAGCCTCAGCCATGAGCACCTCGGAGTGTTGGGTTTGGACGCCCTGCGTGCCCTAAAACCACGGTGAAAAAGGAGAGAGGGGATGGACACAGACCGCTCCGCAGCGCCTGTAAAGCACCTGGCCATTTCCTTCTAGGGGTGTCCTTTGCTTCAGCCCTGAGAAGAGCAAAGCCACAATGGGCGCTGCCCATCACCACCCCCGTGGCACTGGGGTCAGAATCTGATGCTGAAGCACGAGGCTGGGCGTACAATGCCTCATCCCTGCTTGGCCATATCTGCTTGCAAATCCACCATCTCGAGCCCATTCATCCTCACCACAAAGCAGCCTGGGCTTTGCTGAACCCCCGCATGGTGCAGCAATGAGCCAAGAAAACCAGTAATTTTTAGGTAAGAAGGCCACTCTGGGCTTTTTTTTTTTTTTTTTTTTTTTTTTTTCAAAAAGAGTGGAACTGGTGGGACTCCAGCTCCTACTGCCAGCGGGACATGCACCAAGACCTCAGTGGGGTACAGATGGGCATAACGGCTCCAAGGGCTCCTCCAAGCTTCAGGCAGAGAAGCTGTCCAGGTAGTTCTGCATCACGGCAAAAGAGCTGCCCACACAGGAGGAAATACCAAAACCTAAAATGGTGCATGGAGCTGGAAGTTCCAAGCACTGTGAACCTGCTGTGCTATCCGCTAGCAAAGAAGACAAACAAGAAGATGAGTGCCAGGGCGGAGATGAGACAGAGCAGAGGCACAGTCTGGATCCCCTTACCATGCCCCCTCACTCTCAGATCAGCACCAGCACGCTCAGAGCAAAGCTACACTGACTTCAGGAGAGAGAACGTGGGATGAAAACGCAGCGATGGCATCCGCAGGGGAACAAACAAGGCCTTCTGCCTGAAACTGCAGCGCACGTGATGCAGAGAAGGTTTTGTGCAGAACCAAGCCTCCAGCAGCTCCTGTTTGCCTTTTCCTTGTTTGCAGCAGCGTCACATCTGGACAATCATCAGGGAAAGAAAAAAAAGAAAGAAAAAAACCACCTCCTCCTGCTGAACAAGCTCTCAATCAAAACAAAGCCGGAGCAGCAGCCAAGAGCTGGGAGGCTCTTTTGTTTAATGCTTAACATCCCCTGGCTGGCCAGCACCGCTGCTCCCCCCAAATGCTGCACCTCAGCAGCTGGGCCACGTGCAAGGCTCAGCACAAGGCTCCATGCAGGAACTGAGCCCCCTTCCTGTCCCCCACATCTCTGCTGAGGATGCAGCAGGGACTCACAGACCAAGTTAAAGGAGGGCAGGGAAGCTCGGCAAGAGGTGGCTGCATGCAGGGGGATCCCAACCCCTCATTTTTCCCCTCTCTCCCTCCCCAGATGGGAATCGGCCTCAGAGCCTCCTCAAGCTGAAGAGGTTGCCCCACACAAGTGCCCAATGGGCTTCTCCTCCACAAGCCCAACTTGCAGCCATTCGAATCCATCATGCAAAAGAGCATCTGTTCCTCTTCCCAGCATCATTCACCTGGGTTTTGGTGCTGGGAGGGACATGAAATAGCACACCTTCTCCACACCACTCCTTAATTTCACAAGCTTCAGCTGATGGCCCCACAGGCCTGTTTTCCTGACTGACCCTAGAGCCACTCACTCCATTCCCTGTTCTCTCCCCCAGCCTTCTGCCTGTATTTTCATAGCTCTATGCTCTACTTTCGCAGACATTTCCCCATTCTTGCTGACATCAGCAGCTCTCCCCATCCTCCCTCCCACCTCCCCACCACCCCCCCCAGTGTCCAAAATCTGCAAGTCAGAACCAGAGAGGAAACACATCAGCTTCCACATCGCCAACCACAACTCCAATCCCGCACACCTCCCCAGTGCAGGAGCATGGCGCCACCGGCACAAAGGGGCTTCGGTAGGCATGAGCACACAGAGCTGTGCATCCGAGGGCGCCCAGACCACTGCTCAGGCTCTCAGACAGATCAGGCACACTCTGCCACTGCAACCCACAGGGCTCCTGGAATTGAATTGCAGGGTTTGCCCATATGCTGCTCCTGCCCAGCCACAGCACCAGTGCCACGCAGCAGCAGAGGAGAAATGCACGAGAACCACCCACAGCAAGGCAGTGGCCACAGGCTGACTGTTGCTGCAAGCTGGGCAAAGCCCACACCCCACGTGAGGAGGCTCCTGTCAGCCCGATGCACCTGTGCAGATCCCACATTTACCAGCACACGAAGGTCTCCTCATCAGCAAACGATGCAAGGGAAAAAAGAAGTTCTTGGGGAACCACAGGCAGCTCTGACACAAACAGCAAGGCCGCTGTGGCTGACAACAGGCTGGAAGCCCACGGTGCCCACGGTGCCAGGAGCTGGAGGAGGCACAGAGCTACGCATCCCTCCGGGCTCCTCCTGCTGGGCCGTAGGGACCAGGGAAGTTCACAGGAGCCACTCCTGCTCCTTCACCACACGCAGCAGCACGTCGCAGAGCGCAACAACCTCTGGCACTGCCACCGCTCCTTCACAGCCCGAACCTTCCTTACCTTCTCCGATTTGACCTTTTTCAGCTGCCGGCACTCTCCTTCCCCATCCTCCAGCTCTGACTTAACTCCCAAGGGGTTGAGCGCAGCTCCTGTGTCAATAGCTATACTCCCAAGCTGCTCGGTGGCAGCAGCAGGCTCCGTCCCCTGGCCACCATCGTACTGTCCCACCCTCACAGCCAGGGCCAGGGGCTGCAGCACACCAGGCTCCTTCTCCGTCGGAGCCCCCGCACCCTCACTCCTTTCCTTCTTGCTTTTGGACGAACTGCCCTCCTTGTCCTTCTTGGAGCCGGCCACGCTGCGAGACGCCTTGGCCGACTTCTCTGAGCCCTTGGGGGTGACAGCAGGCCCCAAACCCCCCGAGTTCGCGCCATCCCCAGAGCGTCCTTGAGCCTCCTTCTTGCCCCCAGCTCCCTCACCGGCCGTGAACAAGGAGCTGCCCGGGGCCGGTTTGCCACTGTCCTTGCCGCTCTTGCTCCTTTTCGACTTGGATTTGCCCTCCTTGCCTTGCGGGCCTGGCACCGGGCTCACAAACTTGATGTTGTCAGGTAGGGTCGCCACCGCGTTGGGCGCCGGGAGCCCCACCTCCTTGGAGCCTGACATTTCCAACTTCTGCTGATCCTTCTCCAAATCAGCGTCCAGATCAATGATTAGATTCCCTACGCCAATGTCCCATTCATCCCCGCTGTCGTACGTCTCTACCGGGTTCGCATCGATTCCTTTCCCTCCGGAAGCTCCGCTGCTCAAGGACATCTTAGAGTTAACGGCCCCTCACGGTTCAAGGCTCTTCCCTGCCTCCTGCCCGGGGTCCGCAGCGCTACGACGTCCTCGGGCTGCCGGCGCTCGGGGTCTGCCCAGGTGACGGCATCGCTGCTGGAAGGGAGAGCAGAGAGAGGAGTTACATGTGGAGGATGGCACAGAGGGGCAGCCGCACCCAGCTCTCGCCCCACTGCCACCGCGCACCCCAGCCGGCGACAGGGTGCGAGTCCCCTCAACCGTCCTCACGTCCCTGCAGCAGCAGGAGCCATCTGGCAGCGGTCCCTCGATCGATGCGAGGCCCTGGCAGGTCACAGCTCCCGGCTCCAACAAGACATTACTCACACATTCCCTGCTCGCCATTTCCCTCTGAATTATTGAGCGCGGCCCTGGGATGGAGGATTGATTCCTCTCCTGACGATGCCACCCACGGCCGGGCTGCCTGGGGGGGCTGCTCCGTTGCCAGGCACGGGGCTCAGTGCCTCCCTGGGAAATAAATCCCAGCCCTGGGGCACATGGCCACGGACGATGGCACAGAGACGGCAGGGAGCAGGGCGGCACAGAGCGGGGAAGGAGCACCGCACCCGGCCGTGCAGCTGCAGAGCTGGGAGGAAGCCCTGAGCCCCATCTGGATGAGGCCCCCCTCCAGCTCTGCTGTGCCTGAGGCCTGCTGCTATTGATGAGCAGCACTTCAAAAACAGGTGACTTCAAGAGAAACAAGGGGAAAAAGAAAGAAAAAACAAAAAACAACACACACAGAGATTTCTTCAAACTCCAGCAAGCAGGAGCCTGGAAAGCAGCTTCATGGTGCGTTTCCAGAGATGCAAACACTGTAAAAATGCCAAGGATTCTTTCATCAGACAGGCTGCCGCAGCCAGACCATTTTCCATCTGCTCCCCACAGCATCCCTGGCTCCGCGCAGCCAATAATCCACTCTCTGACAGGTCATTACGGAGAGCTTGAACCCCAGGAGCCAGGGGCGAGCACGCAGGCTGGAAATGAAAAGCACTGACCTCTCATTTCAGCGGCAGAAAGTGCCGAATCAGGAGCTCCGTGTGTGCTGACGGCCGCACCAAGCCTCCCCGCGCTGCTCTCACCTTTCTCCTCCTCCTGCCCACCTTCCTGCACACACAGCTGGAGCATCCCACTCTGCACCCTGCACCCAGGCCCTTCCTTTCCCATGCTGGAGCCGTGGCCCCGTGCCCTATGTGCAGACAGAGGGGCACGGCAGCACAGCCGGCCCCGCAGCGCCCCAATGCTCCATGCCATGGTGCAATATTGAGAACACAGCAGCAGACGAGGACTTAGGTCTGAAGCTGTGCAAACGGCAGCGGTGGGCGACCACGGCTGCTGATACCTCCCACAACAAAAGGCGGAAGGAGCCCAAAAGTCAGCCGGCTCCTCGGAGAGCCAGGAGCAAACAGGTTCAGCAAACAGGGGGAGAACACGAGCACCCGACAGAGGAGGCTGCCCAGGCCCTGCCAAGAAGGGAAGAGCTCAAACAGGACCAACTGGAACAGGCTGGGCTCTGAAGGCACCGCAAAGAGGAATGGGGAAGAAGCGGCGCGTCCCAGCCCGCGACCCCAAACTGCAATGCGGGGTGGTTCCCTGCAAGCCAACCCACACACGAGGAGGTAAAGTGGTTCCCACAGCCCCAAACGTTGTCCAGGTCCCCACGCCTCACACTGCCACTCACCTCCCGCCATTGCCGGATGGATCCCCATGCACCACGAGCAGCGTGTGCTCACTTGTTGGCTGGAGCCTTGCCAGCACAGCATTTTAAGAGCAGTCCTGGTGCACAGATCCAACAAGGAGACAGCTTTCTGCTTGGGAATGCTGCGCACACGCAGCACCAGACATGAATAATTCAGCTCCATTAGGTGCCGAGACCTCTCCAATCCACATCTCCGTGCTGGGAAGGAGCCAGCGTATTAGAGACAAACCTGAAAGTTCACTCTGGGAGCAAGCAGCCAACTGCAAACACACCTAGAGGAAACTATTCAAGCAGAGCACTTCAAAAAGCACCCAGCAGAGAGCCGGGAAGCTGCACAAGCCCCAGCTCTCAGTGCCCCAGCACGCCGGGTCTGGCCGAGCCCTGCACTGTGGTACTGGAACCCAGGGAGGGGTGGTGGGATGCTGGAGGAAGTGCTGCTCCTGCCCCAATGGAGAAGGGCTGGCTCATCCCCGTCCAGGAGCAGCCTCTGGTGGCTCCTAGACACGACTGACTGCTACTTTTCACCCTGCGTAACTTTCAGGAAGCGAGAAGAGGTGAAGGGGACAGAAAGCCGGGGGCCCAAGGGGCCTGGCCACAAGGCATGCCCCCAGCTCCCCGCATGCCGTCCCAGCACCAGATCCCTTTTTGTTTCCTTTTACGAGCAAAGTGAGCTCCGAAGGGACGCGTTCCCCTTCTCAGGGCCGCTGTGCTCGCTCATAATCCCCCGGCTGGGCTTGTTTGGGTTGGATCTTTGTGAAGAAACTCCCGTGTCTTTTTCTGCAGATCTCTTTTTAAGATGTTCCCTTTCTCCCCGCCCCCTCTCTCCAGAGATGGGGGAGGGAAAAAGGAAAAAAAAAAAAAAAAAGAGAAATGTTGAATGAGAGCCAGCTGGCACACACAAGAGGAGACGGAGAAATCTGCACAAAGGAGCTTCCTCACTCACTTGCTGCTTTCAGCTCCAGAAATCCAGCAGGGAGGAGGGCTTGCTCTCCCCCGTGCATCACTCGAGGCGCAGCAGACAAAGGCGCCTGGCCATGACACCCTCCTCGAGTGCCACCCAGGGCAGCAGGGCTCCACGCTCGCCCCGCGCTGTCGCCAGGCGCACCCAGCGACGCGGAGGAGCCACGCTCCCACCGGGCACCGGCACAACTCCGGCAGCTCCCGGCTGGAGCGAGATGGCGCGGGCACGCTGCCAGAAGCCAGCAGGCTGAGCCCCATTTGAATAAAATGGAGCCAAAGCCTCCTCGTTTAATATGGAGGTGCACCCCGGCGAGACTACATCTTCCAGCATGCACCGCAGCCCAGCGAGCGCTCCAGAAACTTACGCCGGGACTCCAAGTTTCCGCCGGCGGAGCTGTGACACCGGGGATGAACCTGACACGGGGCAGCGCCAGCGGCTGAGTCATGTGCTGGCGTTCCTGGGGAAAGCCGAACGTGGGCAGTGCAAAAGCAGGGAGCTGCGAGAGCCGAGCAGTGCAGGGAGGCAGGAGGGCTGCAGAGCAGAGTTTAGCAGATCTATCCGCCGTGACACCCACCCACTTCCAAACACACACTGCACGCCAACGTAACACACACCAGCAGGCAAAAGCTATGGTTCAGACCAGAACTCAAGCTTGCATCCACCCCTCCCCAGCCTGCTGGCAACCCCAAAACACAACCCTGCAGCAAGGTGGAACGTAAATTCCACCTAAAAAACTACAAAACTACAAGGAATCCATAGATACGACGAGATACGGGCACACGGCATGAGATCTGAAGAGCAGGTTTTGCTGTGTTAGCCAAAACTCTTCTCCCCTCTGATGCTTACTCCGCTCCAGCACGCAGCACAGCTCAGGAGGAGCCCAGTGGGTGGCTGACAAAGCCCAGCGCTCCCAAAGGAGGCACCGAGCAAAGCCAGAGCCCGGAGCACCGCGTGCCCCTCAGCCCCAACAGCCCGGCGTCACCGGCAGCGACGTCACCGGTGTGAGGCACACAGAGAGGGGGAAAGGAAAGGGACGAAATGTCTCAGGCCTTCTCTAGTGTATTGAGATGGGAAAAACGGGAACAACTCTTCTTTCATCCTCAAATGGCTTTTGGAAGTGTCAGCACCAAAGTCACCGTTTTTCGTTCGCCCCAAGCACGCACACCTCCAGATTCACAATTACTTTGTTCCGGCGCTTCGCAGCCATGGCATTGTTTCCCAGCTGCCTACCCCACACCGAATCAAACACCTCTCAGGTTTTCTCTACCAACATGCAGGGAAATCCAAGAACTTCCTACTTTAAGAGCACAAACCCATGTCTGAGACATGACACTGTCAATGGAAGGCATATTGATGCCTGCAGAGCCATGTGAAGGCACCTAGCATCACTTCCTCTCCCTCCCATGTAGGACAACAGACAAATGTTCTTCTCGCCCTCCCTCCCCCCAGTGTGGGGATGGATGGATGCAACCCCATGGCCAAAATCGCTGTCTCGAGGTCCTGACGCAGGTACGGCCTCACAGAACTCAAAATTTGAGAGCTGAACACAGCCAAGAGCTTCACCCAGATCCACAGGTCCACATCCATGCAGCACCCAGTGCTCCCAACACACGGCTGTATTGGGAAAGAGGAGCTGAGAAACCTTGCCATGAGGAACAAGCAGGGGAACAAGGGAGCAGCTCCCTTCCCAGGAGCTCAGCTCTTCCATCTGTCCAGAACCAGGGACAGAATCACAGAATGGCTCAGGTTGGAAGGGACCACAGAGACCATGGAGCTGAGCTCCCAGCCCTGCTGTGGGCCGCCCACCCCCAGCTCAGACTGCTCAGGGTCCATCCATAGCCGTGTCACTTCTGGGGAATGGGGCACCCACAGCACTGGGCAGCCTCAATGTGGTGGTTCAAAACCATCAAGAATCACAGCACCGTCCTCACCCAAAATCTGCACCCCTGCAAGCAACGTGCAGCCAGGATGAGCTTGGGAATGCTCTGGACCTGGTGCAGGTGCTCTCCTCACGCCCCACAGTTTGCTCCCGCCGAACGCCAAAAATACCATCAGACACTGGAGAAGGGACATCTGAGCAAAGCCTGGCACTGAGCAGCGCATCGTGACGCTTCCCACAGGGACACATGGGACAAATCTGGGGGTTGGTTCTCCCTCTCCATCAGGAAACTGGAACCAAGGCAGCTGTGCGGATTGCAAACCGGTCTGGCTACACCCTTGCAAAGCCCCACGTAGAACGGGCAGCCTGTCCTCACCCACTGGAGAGCGCCTGGAGCTACCCCAGGGCTTACACACCTCAGCCTTCGGAGGACAAAGAACACCTCTCTGCCACTCCAAAAATGAAGGAGCTGCCACTTCTCCTATTAACGCCTTTAATTCCCCTCACTCAATAAGCAATTAGGGCACCTTGGCGAGACCAGCAGAGGCTTCATTTGCAGCAGAAGACCGGAGGTGCAGCTGCAATCCCTCTTGCTGTCAAGGCACCAGCCTGGGAACGCTTTG